TCCCCGCGCCGCTCCCCGGGTTCTTCTCACCGGAAAAGCCCTTTACGGCCACCTCACAAGGGTATTTCCATCCGTTAGTCCTCCCGCAGCCGCCTCTTCCAGCCCCAGCAATCTCTCTCCACGTCTTGTCTTCTTTATAAAGGCCTTTATTTGACGTAATAGCAAACAAAACACTAGTTTAAATCGAGTGTACGTAGTACACTGTTTACAGCAATGAAGCGGCGACATGTTTAGACGCGACCTACCTCTCCCTCCTGCCCGCTGCCAGGCCGAGCCGGGGGTTTAACATTGCCACGGGGTGGTTTAGTGGGTGCCGTAAGCACAGACGTTATTCGGACGATAAAAACAAGTCAAACATGGATGAAATGTTACAGAAGTGGAAAAAAAAAAAATAATAATAAAACAAAGAAAAAAAATAATCCGCAAAAATAGAGATTCTCTTAAAGTTATCGGACTAAGGGAGAATTAAGATTGTGTGTTAGACACTGAGGAATCGGCCGTTAAAATGGCTACGCAGAGTTAGGTCTGTGCCTAAAGGATGCCTTCGACGTGGTCCGTGTGACACAAGGCAGCGAGGGGTCCTAACGACTCACTGGGGGGACGGGGTCGGACAGACCTGGGGCCACAGGGCCAGGAAAAACCCAAACGAACCAAAAAAAAAAAAAAAAAAAAAAAAAAAAAAAAAAAAAAAAAAAAAAAAAAAAAAAAAAAAAAAAAAAAAAAAAAGTCCACGACCAGACAGAAAATGCTGCTTGGTGCATTCCTGTTCCCAGAACCGGGGGCTCCCGCGCGTCCCGAGCGCGCTTCTCTCCGCCAGCACGCCTCGGTCGGGGCTCCGGAGACCCTCAGCGCCTCCATCTTCACCTCTGCCTCTCCCTTGAGAAAACCTGGAACGCTTTTCTAGACACCGTCACTTGAATTCAAGAGAAGGGGGGGGGGGAAAACCAAACCCCAAACCTCCTGGATTCGATTCCACCCACCCGGTTCGAGGGGCAGGGAAAGGGCCCAGAGGAGAGGAGTCAAAAATCTCCTTCCCACCCCCTCCTTCACGACGCGGAGCACCGCAACGGGGACGCCTCCCCCACCTCTCTGCCGGGGGACGCGGAGGAGGCTGCGCCGGAGAGCGCGGGGCCTCCCCAGCCCCCCCCTGCGCCGGCTCTCCCCCGCTTCAGCGCGGCCACGGTGGAAGCAAAGGTTTCACAAGTATAAAATCAAGTCAAATCACTCAAAAGACTGAATTTAGGACTAAAGAGGCGATTCCAATGGAGCCGGGATTCGCTCGGAGATGCTAGTTTACAGTTTCAGGAAAAAGACAGCACTCATCGCAGTAATACCACAGGGTGGGTCCCCTCCCCTGCCCTATATTTCCTGCTACTCTTTTTTTTTTTGTTTGAATTATAATACAATGTACGTCTGTAGTAACGATACTCCGGCCAGAGCCCCCAAGGAAGCCCTCGAGCGTCAGAAAGTCCATCGATCGTGTAGTTGGCTTTCACTGCTAAAGCTGTTACTCGCTGAGGCCTCGGGGTTTTGTGTTTGCCGAGTCGAATCTTCCCCTTTTAGGCTCTTCCTGCACACCGGACACGTGTCGTGCTGCAAGAGAAAGGCGGGGGTTCGGGGGGATGCCGCTGTACCGGGACGGTGCCGGCCCATCAGCCGGGCAGGGCTCGGAGATGCGGCACCTCTCGGAGCCCGAAGGGCCCCGGTCGCCCGCGGGCGCAGGCTCTTACCAGCTCTAACCACGGCACGATGCAGTTGCTGTGGAAGAAGTGATTGCACGGTAACTGCCGAACTTGCTCCGCTACTGTGTAGTCCTCTTTGCACACAGGACACTCCAAACCCGTATCTGGAAGAGACACCGAGAGCAGGGAGGGTGAAGCCGGCAGCTTTGGCTCCCCGGGAACACGACCTCTGGTCTTTACGAGCCAGGGTACGTTCGCGTACAACCTACGGCGGCGTTCACCAGCCAGGTATCAAAGAAATTCCTTACGTTCTCTGCATATGACTGGCAACGAAAAAAATAAATCCAACTACGGGTATTTTAGCTGGGTCCTGCCAAAAATTCCGAACGAGGGCAGTTTGGCGAGGCCGAGGGGGGACGCTCCCATCGCAGGAGCCCAGCAGGCTGCTGCGCCCCATCGACCACGAGAGACGGCAAAAACCCGACCCCTCTTCCTTCGTCCCAAGCCCCAAGGCCAACGCGGACGGCCCAGCCGCAGGGAGACGGCGCTGCCAGCCCCTCTCGGCTGCCAGGCTGCGCGGCCCGAGCTCTGGCAATTCACACAGGCGAGACCGAGCATTACAACATGGAAATTCAGATGCTGCTTGGCTTTTCCCAGACAAGAAGAGGAGACGTGGGTATATAAAAAGCACCAGACAAAAACATCTGTTGTGGAAACGGCTTTTCTAATCAAACAGTTTGTCTTAATGGAGCATTTAAGTTTCCAGTAATAGAGCAGCTCGGAGGGAAAGGGATCCTCTGAGCCGGCTTCGGAGACAGCCTGCTGCAAACAGAGGGAGAAAAATCCCCGGGATGAGCTAATTGCAAAACCATAAATGTTAGGAGAAGCCCACAGGTCTTTGCTGCCAGCGGCACTGCGGGAACCTGCGAGCTGGGCCTGCCGTTCAGCGGGAGCACGGTCAGAGCCTCGCCTCCAGCCCCGCGCCAGCCAGCCTGGAAGGGAAGCAAGCAACGCGCCGAGCCCAGCCCTCCCGGGAGCACAGACAGCAGCACGAAGGGAAGATCTGAGAAGAAGGTAAAGCCATCAGGGGCTCGGGGGGTCAAAACGGCAGCACTTCGGGACTGCGCGCTCTGCGGAACAAAGGGCTTTGCTGATGGCCTGAACCGGCAGAGATCCGAGTCCTTCCAGCCCGAGGCGAGGCTGGAATTCCGGAGGACGGAGCAGCGCTGCCTGCTCCCCTCCCGCGGCAGCCGGGGAGCACAGGGACGCAGCAGAGGCTGACCCTTAGCAGAGGGAGCGGGGGAGCCCAGGGTGCGTACGTCAAAGCGTCAGGAGACGAGTGACGTCGGACACTGGCGACCGACTGCACCTACCAACTTGTTCCTGAGTTACTGTCACCGTCGGGAGAGATGAGATCTTCTCCTTGTCGGCCGGAGGTGGTCCCGTGTTTTCCAGCTGCCCCAAGAGCTGCGGAGGAGAAAACGCACTGTGCTCAGGAGCGGACACGGCTTTGCCGCGCAGAGCATCGTCGTGCAAACACGGAGCGCTGGTTTGGACCAGGTCAGGCCCTCCTCCGCAGCAACGCTTCTGGTGTTCAAACCTCACTTTCGTGCCTCCAGTCCTGACAATCCCACTTCTAACACCACTGCCCTCCAGACATTTATCTCCTGCGTCAACAGCTGGGAGACTGAAGGGGCTGGGTGGGAAGGGAGACATTGCCAGAGACACGAGAGAGGGTGCTAAGCTGCTCCTGGAGGATTTTGGACCGAAAGAGAGTCGGTAGAGATGTTTTGAGAAGAGGAAGAGCCTCGTACTGCAGGAACAAGGGAGCCCGAGGCTTGCCCGGGGTGTCAGGAGGAAAGAGGAGACCCCCCAGGGCTACGCCGAGAAGCTGCTTTAGTCGAGTACCACCACCAAACCAAGGAGCAGCCGACCAAAGCCTGTGCTCCTGGGGGTCTGCGTCTCCTGCGTCCGACCTTTAACACGGGCTGAGCTCGAGCTGCGGTGCTGGTGCTGACAGCACCTCTTTCCCAGTGTTATAGTTTCATGACTCATAGGAATTTTATACTGCTAAGACCTAGATTCACCCGGCAATCAGCTCAAACGGGTTCAAGCACGGTCAGGGAGAGCAGAAAAGCATTTGTAGGAGCCTCATTTAACTTTGAGGGCCACATTAAGATGCCTGGGATGACACGAAACCCCGGGATGGGCCGGGCCGCTGCTGCAGCCCCAGCAGAGCGCCGAGCAGAGCCGCGTACCCAGCCCGAACCCGAACTGCGACACCAACCCCACTGCAGTGCGCTTGCCGGGGCTTGCTCGGCTCTGCTGGGCGTGGGGTGGGAGGGGGAAGGTGCTGTCTCCGAGCGGCCATGTGGGCTGCAGACTCATTTTAGGAAGCAGTGAGTAAGGCGGGCGAGACGGGTGTGCGACGCAGCCTGGGAAGCCGGGGGCTACTCATGAATGGCAGCAGATGGCTTTGCCAGGCGCGTTCGGGAGGTGTCAGCACGACAACAGCAGCCAAATTAGCTCTCAGTAGAGCATCTGTCTGCTCTTCCCATCCCAGTGATGCCAACACCCTGGACGAGACGGTTTGTGGATGGAGGCTGGACACTCCCAATGCTCAAAGGAGCCAGACAATGCTTCCAGGGAACGGGAGCGGACCCGGCTCATTCCTCCACAAACCACAGGGGGAAATGGCTCACGGCTGCAAATTGCTGAATTTGGTGAGAGATCCGGGGCTGACGCCGGAGATTTTAAGCTTTGGCCTCCGCTGAGCCTGTCTCAAGGCACCTGCAAGCCTTGCACCACGCGGGAGCCGACAAAGAGGTGAAGTAAGGTACGGTATTCCCCAGGAATAAGGTCGGACCCCTGCTCCTAGGCCCTCTGAAGATGCAGGGCACAGCCAGACACCAACGGTCTGTTCCTGGTCCTCACCCGAAAGCCAGGGCTCGCCTCCAGCAGCGGGACTGACCACAGGGGAGCACAAAAATTCAAAAATTGACAGGCACAGATCGAAGCCCAGGCCAGCCAGCTTGGGACCTTCTCCACCCAGGCACATACGAGGGTCTTACCTGGGTGACAATAGCGTCAAGGCCGCTCTGTCCCCACGCGTAGTCCCCAGGATTCGAGTGCAGCATCCCACTCCTGCAGACGGGAGCAGAGGGTCAAGGAACGCGTTTCACTCACCCCAAACCAGCCCCGAGGTTTGCACGATCCTCCCAGGGAGGCCGTGCCAGGGCGATGGAGCTCCTGGGCACCAAACCACGGCTGTTTACTGGTGCGGACAGCTGTGATCAAAGCCGTGGTCTAAACCATGCTCGCTACTCACCAGGAAAAAGGGTGTTGTGAGCCAGGAATCGCTGAGTTTGCAAAAAACCCTGCAAAGATCTGCTGTATTATTCTAAAGAGGGAGGAATCGAAAGAGAAAAAAAAAAAGAACAAGGTGAGCAAACAAATACAGGGCAGCAGCAACAGTTTAGCAAGAACGGGCAGCAAAACACGAAATACTGCTCTGATCGATCGTAGCCATGTTGTTGCAAGACTCAGGCCTAGGTAAATCCCTCTGCAGAAGGGCGAGCCCTGAGAGAGAGGCACAGCACGAAGGAGCAAGGGATGCTAACTCATCAGTGTGGGAAGGCTGGGAGAGGAAATGACTGAGCTTCCCGAGCACTGACTTGTTTCCTTGTGGTGAGGGTTGGCACCCTTACAGGCAAAACCCACCTTTCCCACCACACAGCTTCGATTCGTGCCGAGGGGGACAAAGGCTACAGCATCTGATGTGAAAACTTGCGTTTTCAGGGTCCAAGGGCCACCTACCGTAAGTGCTAGGATCCCATTTTGTCAGGTTTCTCCCCAAGATCCCACATTTTTCCACTGATGGGGGAGGGAGACGCTTCCAGGGGGTAATTTAGGCACTTACCCTTCGATAGCAGGAGACCTGTCGGGGCGCGAGCTGCCCCGGGATCTGTACCTCCGCGTCATGGGCAATCGCGGGGGTCGGCTTGGTCCCCAGAGGTCGGCGTGGGCTTGGTGGCCCCTCTCGTTGTCCCTGCTGTCTTGATCCAGTGAGCTGCTACTCAGAAAGGGTCTGAAGTCAGGAAAGAACATTGTGTGGTCCAAATGGTCCCAAAGCTGGGGGCAGAAAAGGGGAGACACAAACCACACACAGCTCCGTCACTAATCCCGGTGACTCCGCTGCCAACACGGAGGCAGGGAAGTCCACCTCGACAGAAGCAATTGAGCAAATTCATACGGTTACCATGGCTCCCAGAAAAAAGTCTGGCAAAAACGCTTAATTATAGCCCAAACTGATCAGATGTACCACCCCCGGGAAGACCAACACGTCAGCTCTTTCCTGCTGCGTACCGATCCCGACACCATGTATTTTGTTAAGCCACCCAGGGCACCGCGAGGGCTGGGAGTTGAGGGGAGGTAACGCCGGGCGCCCAGGCCCCACATCCACGGGCTCACCGAGTGCTCCGGGCCCTCACAGCCGCGGGTGGCAAAGGGATGTGGCAAAAACCCCCGAAGCACGGCCCCCAGAAGGAGGGTTTGCGTCTCTGGTTGTCCCCTCTGGTTCAGCGTGCCCGACACGGCAGAACAGAGCAGCACGAAGCGGCTGATAACGAACGGTCTTGCAGACGTAACATGGTTTTGTGGGGTCCGTCCACAGACGTAAAGCCGTCTCCTGGCCCTGAAGCAGATCTACCTGCTGCTGGTGGTGCAAACACCCTCCTACTCCTCGAGCAAGTCAAATTGCCAGCCCTGAGCCTGCCCAAGGGGGAGCAGGGACACAAACCGAGAGCTGCCGGGGGTCACCAGTGGGTCTCTGCAGAGCTCCTGGCTACGCTCCCCACTGCGGGCTGCCAGCCTGCAGAGAAACCGGGGGGTGCTCAGCCGCCCTCACCTGCAAAACCCATCTGGCTTTATTCCTTCTGCAATTCAGATCGCCCACGGATTAAAGTAAGAGCTGAGGGGGGCACTGAAGACTTACGATGTGGGTTTATGAAAAAATAAAATCCATAGGACATGACAAACCAAGGAGTGTCAGCCAAGAAACCCTCCGTGGGCCACGTGGGAGCAAGCTGCTGCTCACGCTCGATATGCCCGGGCCAGGCTCCGCGCTGCAAAAGGGATACTGGAAAGAGCAGCGCCCTCGGATTTACTGCGGGAATTAAATGCTACAGAGCGTAACACGGGGGCTGTTCTCTTCTTATTTGTACGAGACCCTCATCATGCCTTATGACACGATCAGAGCGGCTTAATTTCTGTTTCACACCGAATTAGCTCGCTTCACAAGTCTCTTACGTTGCCTGGTATTGGAGGAAAGGGAGAAGTCAAGTTTATGACCTGTTCTCTGAATTAATACCCTGCAGACAGAGTTTTGCTTGTTCTCCTGCTGGTTGTGATCAAGATACAGCTCTGCCTGCCTGCCGCCACACTGCTGAGAGACGACTTTCATTTATTATTAATCCTAAAAGCCATTTAAATTTACATAGCGCCTTTCATGGAGAGGCATCCCAAAGCTCTTTGTAAACCGACGCGAGGGCTATAAGACGAGATCACTTTATCTCGCTGAAACACGGGCATTTCTGGGACACGGTGCTGGGGAGGAGCAATAGGAAGGCAACAGTTTTGTTCCAGAGACAAATGGATCCAGCTGAAGAGGAGAGGCAAACCAGCCGTACGTGGGGAACGTGGAAGCAAACAGGAGGGATCCAGATCCGAAACACAAAGCTGTAGAGGAATTTCAGCTATTTGGTGACCCTGTTTCTGGCATCGAACCGAGGGGCTTTGCTGCAGCACGCAAAGGGGGGCTCAGCAACACCACAGACCCCCAAATCTGCCCAGGGATGACCTTGGCCGACGAGCTGCGACTCAAGACATCAGGCAGCTCTCCTGGCAGGGCCGAGGAACAGTTAAAACTCCTCACTAACGAATAACCTGATCTCTGAGCAAGGTCTGCTGGCAGAGGAGACGCGCAGAAATTTTATTTCCATCTGTTTTACACAGCTGAGCTGAACTCCTGAAGGGCAACAGAGCCCCGAGGAAGGGAGCTGCGATTGGAGCCTAAAGCCGCCCTTCCTTCCCTGGGGCCTGGGAGCGGAGCTGCCGCCGCAGCCAGGAGCCCAGGGTGACTCAGGCGAGGCCGCAGCACGAGTTCAGGGCGCGTATTCACACGGAGCTCGACTCAGGCTGCCGGCACGTGCCCGGCTGTTTGAGACTTTAGGTAACGGGGTAAGAAAAGACGCTGCCAGCCCTCGCTGCCCAACACCCCCTGCTCCGAGATCCACGCAACTGAATTAGGAGACGTGGATTTTGTTCCAAGTTTGGACTTTTTAGACAGCTGCGTTTCTGGTAAAACTCGGAGCAGCAATGAGCAGGGAGGGAAGGGCGGTCAGGCAACACCCTCCCTGGCTGGCCGAGGGTCACCGACACACGTCCCAGCATCTGCCAGCACCACGGGCCGGGGTGTCTTTCTAGCACCCTTCTTTTCCTGCCCTGCCCAGTGAGCAAACCTCTGGCAGGTCTCAACCCCGGCAATGTCAACAGTCTCCTCAAAATTTGCCAAGTTCCTGAAAACTCTCAGGAAGATCAGCTGTCCTTTTTGCAAGGCAGTAAGCGAAGATGCCTTCACGTACTGCAACCAGAGCCAAGACTGCAAACCTCTTCATGGCTATGGTTAAAAAACCAAAATAAGGCAAGACAGCAAAACTCACCTCTGCGAGCTGTGTGGATGGGCTGTCGTCTATGCCGCTGCCATCTAGAAAACTGGAGAAAAACAGGCAAGTGAGGGCAGGTCAGGCCTCCCGAAATCAGCTCCCCTTCTGGGGCTAAACACAGACGGGAGCTGATGTGAGCGAGACAGTCTCCGTGTGGTCCGAGAGAGAAAGGGACGAGCAAACAGAGCCTGCCTCTGTGCACACCGCGGACTCATCCCCAGGGACAGAAAAGGACTATGAAAATTGAAAGGCTTGTTCGTGTGCCAGCACACTATGCACAACCTGGCTGTGGAAGAAACCCGGTTTCTAACTATCCGGACTCTGAAGAGCCTCCTAAGAGGAGGCATTTGAGCTGGAGCATCGTCATTCTGCAAACGGGATCATGTGCCGAGTGCCCCAGAGGAGCCCTCCCGTCTTGCCCTAAGCGATGGGCATACGCCTATATTTAAGAAGAGGACGTAGTGTGACATTAAGTCACCTCCCCGGTGACACCCAGCCCCAGATTCCCGCTGTGGCAAGTCTCGGATAGCAAAGGTTCACGTAATCGCTGCTGCCCTTTCATCTCGCCTACCCCCAACCCAAATAAAGCCGTTTTCTCAGGAATCGCTCAAGACCGAACATAGCAAGCGGTGAAGAGGCACCGTTTTGGATCCCTAATTTGCAGGCAGCGTGTTCTGCTGGGTGACCAACCAAATCCTAGAGAGAAAAGGTATTGCCTTCTCTCCTGGCCTGAGCCGCAAGATTGATGAGGGGGTCAGCAGACTGAGCTGGGCCAACAGAGGAAAAAAGAAAGGTACTGTAGGTCACTGAGATTCAAGCTCGATTCCTACAAAAATAACGCTTTTTGCTCTCATAGACCAAAGAAACAGGCGTCAAAAACCTGTAAGCGCTTTTGTTCACCGGGCCTTGTGCAGCCTTGATTCACAACTCCCATCTTCTTGGATGTCTTCCCCAAGCCCCTGCACTCGGCTCTAGCATGAGACCGATGGCCACTTGTCTTTTCGGTCCCAGCCCCTATTAAGTCCAAATTCACACTAATATATAAGCTTTTCTTTTGCATTCCTTATTTTGGCCTCGTTATCCACAGTTTTTAGAGGCTTTACACCAGGCATCTCATGAACCCAGAAGAAATGTAAGCGTGTGGTAAAACAAGCGGTGGATCGGTGCGTACGTTACCTGGAATCATCTGTGACTTCTTCGATAAAGCCAGATTCACATCTCGGGCAAGTGTACTCCTGTAGAGACAGAGGAAACTGGTTTTAGCCACCAAGCACTTAGCTTGCGATTTCAGGGAAAAGACAGAGCCCCAAAGGTTACGCGCCAGGAGTCTCATACGGATTCCTGAGCTCCACCTCCCTGCAAAGGCACTCTGGAAGACCGGCGTTTCGGTTTCATTAAGAGGATTTCAAAACCCGGTGGTTACAGCAGATATTAACAACCTCAACTGACAACTGCAGAACAGAAAACCACCCTTATCAAGATCACGCAAGGTTAGTGGCGCGCCAAAGAAAAATAAATTCAAAAAACCAACACACCTACAGCCTCAAGCCTGTCCAGATAACGACATTTCAGAAGGGAGCCGTTTACAAGGCTGCTGCAAAGCGCCAGGACAAGGCCAGTTCCCAGCCCCGGTGACGGAAAGCAAGTCACTTCAATTAAACTGGTGTCGGAAAGCCGACGAGCTGCTGGTAACACAGCTCCGACGGGGAGCTGGATTTGCTGCCGCTCGCACCGCGGGGAAGACGGCTCTCGCAGGGAACTTACAGAGACGCTCTGCAATTATCAGAGTCGGAGCATAAATAGTTTTTACTTTTTTTCCCCCCCAAGCCATGTTCATAAACGGGGACTCCATAGATAAGCCGGGCTCGCCAGCTATTTGTCACCGATACCGGCTCTGCCCGCTGCTCCGTCCTCCGAGAACGCCGCTCCTTTACCGAGCGAATGCTTTGGGCTGCCGAGGAGGGAAGGCCCGAAGCCATCATCCAGCCTCCCCACCTCCGGCTCTCCTGAAAACCAGCCGAAGGGGAAAAATTCAGATCTCCCCCGCGCTTCCTCGCCCCCCACGGCGTTATGGAGCAGGGACACCCCTGCCCAGGGGCAAACACGGACACAGGGAACATCAGCCAGGGCTTGCACCAGCAGGGAAAGGGAAGAGTCCGTCCTCACGACTGCATCGGCACAGCGACACTCGTTTGCCAGCTGTTTACCCCCCAGGAGAAACGAAAGGAGAGCACCCTTGCCATCCTTCACCTGGGATAAGGGCACATCCAGCTGCGCGACCCCGCGGCGATCCTGGCTTCGGTGCCGGGGAACGGAAGAGCCGCTCGCAGGGAACCACGGAGGCAGCAGTGGGGGAGACTCCTTTAGAGGAGAAGTCTTCTCCGTTTTCATCGCAAGAGCGCTCGTTTTGTCCCAGAGCTGTGGATCTGCTTCAATTTAGCGCAAAACGTTGCCAAAACCAAAGAGCACCCCCAGGTCCCCCCTCCCCAGCCCGTCCCGCTGCGGGGCGGCGGAGCCAGCGCGCTCCCAAACCCTGCTCTGGGCAGTGATTTTCCAACCCACGATTTGCAGGATCTCCGTCCAAAAATAAAGCCTCCCGAGAAGAGTCTTGCTTTCCTTACGCACGCTTCCCAGACCACAGATAAAAACCCTACCAGCAGCCTGCGAACCACAGCCTCGAGCCCTTGGCATCAAATCCTGCTACCTGGACCCGGAGCGTGACAAGAAGAGGAAGAAAAGACAAGACACCCAAGCCAGCGGCACACCGGTTGCTCCATACGGCCCAGCTCCTCCTTGAACTCCCAACGCCGCACCCAGCTCCGGGCCCGATCGAATTCCCGGCGCGGCGTTACCAGAGCTGGGGCGCAGGTGAGATCTCCCAGCCCTGTAACACAACGCCTTTGCGGAGGCGGCTCCAAATTCACCGACGTCTTTTTTTGCTCTCCTGAAACGCCAGCTTCGTCTCCCCATCCCCTGTCACCGTACGGCTCCGCATCTTTTTCCCACTAAATCCGTGTTTCCCTGGGAATGGCACATATGCCCTCGAGACACCTCAATTAATCTCATTTTGCTTTTTTCCTCCGAAGCAAAGCATTAGCTGGCAATATTTACCAGGTGCTGCGCTTACGCAGGGGCACCTCGCTCACCAGCTGGAGCGGCTTCGGAGATGGAGACGAGGGCGGCGGGGAGCTGCCCGCAGCAGCTTCGCTCCCAAAACATTTGTGACACCCCAGCCCGCGATGGGAGAGGCCGAGCACAGGCTTGCACAAAAGCCCATTTAGGCAGCCGAACATGTGGGATGTTTTCAAAAGAGCTCCAGCCTTGGATATAATGGGAACTGATGGGCAACGAGCTCTTCGAAAGAAAAAAGAAAAAAGAAAAAATCTGTCTGGGGCTTTCGGCTTTACATCCGTGAATCGCAAGGCTAACGAGGATGGATGCGCGCGTTTGAAAGAGGAAT